ACTAACTAACTAACTAACTAACTAACTAACTAACTAACTAACTAACTAACTAACTAACTAACTACTAACTACTAACTAACTACTACTAACTAACTAACTACTAACTAACTAACTAACTAACTAACTAACTACTAACTAACTAACTAACTAACTAACTAACTAACTAACTAACTAACTAACTAACTAACTAACTAACTAACTAACTAACTAACTAACTACTAACTAACTAACTAACTAACTAACTAACTAACTACTAACTAACTAACTACTAACTAACTAACTAACTAACTAACTAACTAACTAACTAACTAACTAACTAACTAACTAACTAACTAACTAACTAACTAACTAACTAACTAACTAACTGACTAACTAACTAACTAACGAAACTAACGATCTAGCCCACATACAAGACCCGCAATATCGCTATGAAATTTGATTTGTCGTTGTGTGTGTAACACCAGTAAATATTCAATCAGTCCTTATCAAATTCTGAGTCGATTTAGCAATGTCCATCTGTTTGTAACTAATCAGAATATATCAACCATATTCACCGTATACATTCCCTGTCCTAAGCAGTTTGGTATTTCAAATCAGCAAAATCGGTTCCCTACGTTCAAAGTTTTGAATAATAATATCGGAAAATAAGTTTTTTTCCCCAATTCTTAAGTAGTTTTGGAACAAAAAAAAAAAAGATAATTCAAATAATTTTTTCGCATATTATTTTTAAAGCCCAAGGATTAATTACATTAAAAATCAAGACGGTCGATCCGAAATTTCTCATAGCCCTCATACTAAGGTACATATTCCCGGAAGTTAAAACCTTCCTTAAAAATATCGGTATCATGACAAAATTTGTTTGATATGTATTTTGTAGATATGTATGTATGTAAGCACAATGTGTATGTAGATATGTATATTAGAGTGGGTCGGTCTCTATGGACAAAAAAAAAGTTGTGTCAGTCACCCCCTAGGATTAAAGATATGTTAATAACATTTCCAAAAATATAAAAAATATTTTTTTGCCACGCCTAGAAATACCGCCCTTTTTGTTTTTTATATATATCGTCGCCATTTTAAGTCCGATCGTAACATATGATATATCAATATTTATGGCTTGACTGTAGCTATATTTCACTCTTAAAAAATTTTTTAATTCGACGTCATATTCTATGCGTGACTTTGTTATTAATTAATAAAATTAAATGCCAAATAAAATTATATTCCTTGTGTTAAGATAAGGGCAGAATGAAATTTGTGTATTGTAAATTAATTTGAAAAAGTAGTTTTCGACCATATCCCTAGCAAATTAATTGTTTGTAGTTAGAACTATACAGGTATTTTTAAATACCTGTAAAATAGGTGTTTATGCATAAAAGCGAGCATTTTAAAAGCTAATAGTTCAAATAATTCAATGTACTTTATTCCAGTATAGCCACAATTTTCGATTTTGGGGAAGGATCCGAGATATCAGAAGTCGCGCATAGAATATGACGTCGAATTAAAAAACTTTCTAAGAGTGAAATATAGCTACAGTCAAGCCATAAATATTGATATATCATATGTTACGATCGGACTTAAAATGGCGACGTTATATATAAAAAACAAAAAGGGCGGTATTTCTAGGCGTGGCAAAAAAATATTTTTTATATTTTTGGAAATGTTATTAACATATCTTTAATCGTAGGGGGTGACTGACTCAACTTTTTTTTTCGACCCACCCTAATGTATATATTATATGAACACAACCAACGTAGATCTGTATTGGTCCATTATAGGTCATAGGTCTCATATTAGGTCCATATTCGAAAATCGCTTAAATGTACATAACAAGTTGAGATATAAAGATATGGTAATAAGTGCTATGAATATAGCACTCTAACTTTTTTGAGGGTACAATTATATTCAGATTTACATTTGAGAGTTACAACTATCATCTCAACTAAATACATATGTACTTATGTATATGTATGTATGTTTTAATGTTGAAAATCTAATAACACTCTTCATTTAAAGACAATAATTTTAAATTTATTTTCATCAATTAATTTAAAAAATAATATAAAAATTTACTAAATTTATTTACATAAGTTACAATAGCCTTTCTCTTAATTAATTCTTTTTCTGTTTGTTCTTCTTATTAGACTTCTGTTGAGGAGCGAATTTCCTCAACATCGTCTTAATCAACATATTCAAAAAGTAGATAATAGCAAAAAGAGTAAATAGAATACCACCATATAATATTAACATGGCATCAATATTATGATATTCAATAAAATTTAAATCTAAACCAGCACAATGTAAATATTTAGCACCCTTGTGACGAGCAATATGCTCCACCCAATAGACAGCTAAATCCACAGGCAACATAGGTTGATCTCTATATGTGGCAGACATTTCCTTTATACGTTGATTATAACTTTCATTATTTATCACACGTTCAACAGCTGCTATTAGATCCTTAGCATTTAAGGTTTGATAGTCTAAACGTATGCCATAACCATTAGCTTCTGCACGAGCCATGTTAAGAAATTGATCACCAAATATGGGTATGCCAATAACGGGAGTACCATGGTAAATACTTTCAGTGGTACTTAAAAGACCACCATGCGTAATGAAAACTTTAACATTTTCATGAGCCAATATATCGTCCTGAGGGAACCAGTCACTAATGAAAACATTATCGGGTTTGCCTTCCATCTTCAGATCTTCAAATTTCCATAAGACTCTTTGTTTAAGGCTTTTAAAGGCATTCAATAGCTCCTGTTTCTTGGCTGCGGGAAAATCCTTACTCTTTAAATTAGAACCCATGGAAAAGTAGACGACACCATGTTTAGCCTCACTGATAAATTTCTCTATATCGGCGGGTAAAGGTTTACGTTGGCGATTAATGTGCATACCGCCCACCTCAATGTGATTGGGCATATATGGTCTGGCATAACCCAAGGATACATGAGTATTAAGCAAAACAGCAGCAGCATTTTTACGCACTGTATACATATCTCTTTCCAAATGAGGGAAATATTTCTCATATAAAGCCGCCTGTCTGGGTAAATAGTGATAATCCAAAAATAATCTTTCGAATGTGGCAAAAGCCAAATTTCCCACACGTTCGGTAAGAGTCATATGATCGGTAAATTGCAACATTGGACTGGGTATGTAAGAAGGAGGAGAGGGAGAGCCCACCTATATAAAAATTAAAGAAATATAGAATTATTTAAAATAATTTTTTTAATTTAAACATTTTCATCATACCATATCTGTATTCCATGATATAGCACCAAATGTGCCCAGACCAATAAGTGGTGCCTTAAAGTGTTCACTTAAACCAAATAGTGCTTCGGAGAGAAAAACTTCACATATAACAGCATCAAATGTATGATTACTGGCCATAAGTTGTTGTACATTGGCTTCCTTTAAAACGGTTTCAGTCAAATCGATACCCATATCAAAGTAGTTGACTACATTTTCGATTACACTTCTATCGTTACTATCAAACAAAGTACTGGTAAGCTCTACAATGACATGAAGAAAAAAAGAATTAATACAAATTTCATTAATAACAATTTGAGAACAATTTTCTCCAAATAGTATTCGAACTCGAACCCGAATAAAATTCAATTAATAAGTAAATATTTTATTAGAAAAAAATTATACTTTAAATATGAGCAATTTGGTGGCAAGTGACCCAACTTTTAAAATCGATGTCTACCGATTTAAATGAAATTTGATTTTAGATCTCAAAGATAACTCAAGTCTTTAGACGATAATGAAGTGTATAAAAACAAATTACATACATTTAAAATATATAACCATACTCGACTATACTTTATGTTTAAGTATATTAGACCACTAGCAGATAAATTTTGTCATTTATATAATTTTCAATTAATCAATGCAATTCATATATTTTATACGATTAAAAACTTAAACAATGTATTAAACAATATTGTAGTCTTATCAAAAAATTATTTAGTCTACCGGCAACAAAAATCGTATAAACTTTTTTTCCAAAGCAACTAACAGACAAGTAGGTTCTTATCTAAGGTGTGATATTTTTTGTATCAAAAATTTTATTTAAAAGTATTGAGATAATAAAACTCATAATTAGTTAAAATAATGCAATGATATTGCAAAATAAAGTGAATGTATGTAACCAATAAATTGACAATTATTTGTAAAAAAGACAATAATGATTTAAAAATTAAAATCTACTTACACATCATAAAAATGATGTAACATAGAAAAACCTAGACAGTTCTGAACCATAAGTATATACATATATGCACATTAGGGTGTCCCGAGGATTGGTTCAGATTTCTTTTGGTTTAAGTTATATTTCATATTATACATGAAATTTTCGTAAATATTACGAAAAAAAAGTAGTAACAAAATTTGTTTTTCTTAAAGTTAAGCAAGAATTATTTTTAGTGAAGAAAAAAGTGCTCCGCGGGACACTCTAATATGGACCAATCATTATGCAATTTGTTAGAAAGCTTGTTGATTGTTGTAAAACTTGTTTGTGTCGAATTGCAATATTGATATTTTTAAACCAGTTATGATTAACCTTATACAGAGTACAGACTCAAACTTAGTCCGATTTTCGCATGGATCAATATTGCCCGATTTTAATACCAAACAAACCTCAACAATATTTTTTGAAAAACTTAAATATATCTCTCTTTCCATAATCTATTTTTTGTGCTTTCGATAGGCAAGCAGACGGAGATAATTAGATCGCCTTAGAATCTAATAAGCACCTATTTGACTTTGTGGGTCTACGATCAATATATTTTTATGCATTACAAAAGCAAGGACAAAAAATGTCTACAAAATGAAGCTCGTGTGCCAAATTTCATCAAATTATCGTGAAAAAATGTAATCTGTACTTCAGTAACAATATTTACATGGACAAACATTCGTAAGGATAGACAGGAGAATAGCGAAAGGACAGACATAGCTTCCCCAAAACAATGAAGAAATCCTTGCCTATAGGTATAAATACTTTTTATACCCTACACCATTTTAGTGAGGAGGGTATATTGGGTAAAGTACACCAATCGGCTTAGAATCATTTTCTGAGTCGATTTAGCTATGTCCGTCCGCCTGTCCATCTGTCTGTCTGTCTGTCTGTCTGTCTGTCTGTCTGTCTGTCTGTCTGTCTGTCTGTCCGTCTGTCTGTCTGTCTGTCTGTCTCTCTGTCTGTCTGTTTGAAAATGGTTAATATCGGTCCATTATTTCAGCTAGCCTCCATACAACAACCCCCCCGAATAGTGCTCTTAAGCTCATAATTATATTTAATATACTCGTATCTCAACAAAAAGCTGCAAAACCAAATTCTATTCTAGCCTTGATGATCCTGATGAATTTCATAATGATAGGGCCTCATTTGACCCTAGTTCCTATACAAAGCTCCCTTTAAAATATGATTAAACGAAAAAACTAACTCCCTATTAGTAAGAACTTATTTAAGTAGTTATTTGTAAGCGAGCTTGGTAATGACTTGCCTCCAATGACATCACTGTGTTAAAACAATGAGTTAAAATGAGTGAAGTTTTTGCTGGGATATTATATTTATTTGAATTTCAATAAAGTTTTTTTAACAAATATTTAACAAGCGTACTTATGTCTTGTCAAATATTTGCAAAATATAACTATTTATTTACTAAATACGATATAGAACTTAAGTAAGAACTTAAGTAATATGTATGTATATTTATAAAACACTTTACAACATTTCACACAAATAGTTATCATTGAAAAAACTAAATATTTTATTAAAAACTATATTTAACTCAGCAATTAATATTAAAAAATACATTAAGTACTAGTACTTAATTACAGTTGTACACTAATTACTTCACTGTGTTTAGGAGAATAATTATATTGAAATACTCACCATTCATTTTCTTCATCATCGTTTCTAAAGGTACATCATGATAATTTTTAATAGGTTTTTTCTGTGGAAACGGTGAGATCACATAAACTTCATGACCCTTTTGGGCTAAAGCTTTCATTAAAGCTGATCCAACAATAAAATGTGATTTTGCACCAGTATGTAAAACACCCAAATATTTATATGAATCCACTACTACAGCTGAGTAGATGGACATAAATAGTAAGAATAAATTAGTGACACGCATTATAATTATGTTTTATTTTTTTGCTTTTTTTAATTAATTTATTGTTATTATAATGTGATTAATTAAATGTGCCGGTGTACTGAGTACGCGCTAACGTTTTACTAAGCGTGTGCGTATAGAACGCGTGTTAAACTACAACTGTTGAATAAACTCTCTGTGGCTGTTGATTTTTGTTAATTTATAATGAAAATTTTTATTGTTGAAATCTAATAGCCATATGGTGTAATTTCTCTTTGGCAGTATGAAAATCTAAAATATACGCAGTGCATTTGTATGTATACGGGTTTCAATGTTTAAAGATAAGATATTGATTTTTGTTAGTTTTAAGAATAATGAGAACTGGTTTCTGAAAAGAGAGTATATACATACATACATACATACATATTTAGGTTCATGTTAATCGACATCTGTTTAGAATAGCTATAGGCAGAGAGAACATAAATTTCCTCTCTGAGTATTTTTCTTGGGTTTTTATATGTTAATAAGTATATGTGTGCATACATCAGCGTAAAAACAAGAGTGCAGGAATTACTACAAGGAACTCTGTCGGTAGAATACAATCAACAGGTAAGATTGTCTTTTCTACCTGCTCTGGAAACATGTGTTGTCTTTAAAAGTAGTAAAAAGCAAGAATTTTGTATGATCGACCACTTATTTGTTTAATAGATTTCTATACCAATCTTAGAACAAGTAAGAGTGTTATATTCGACTGTGCCGAATCTTGTATACCCATCATCAAAACATTGCCGAAAAGGAATGCTTCCTTATAAATAAACTTTGATATTTAAGAATCGATGCTTTTGTTATTATCAAAACAATTTTCTCATTCATTTCAAATTATACATAGATGTAAATTTTACCATCATATGTGTATCGACAGGATCAATTATGGACTGATCCTATACATCATATGTGTATCGACAGGATCAATTATGGACTGATCCTCCTAAAATTTGGTAGAGAGATTTGTAACAAATTTTGTCGCTGTACTTGTATTTTTAAGGTAGTAAAAAGTGTTAAAGCCATTTGTGAAGGGGACCTTATATGGGGGTAGGGTCAATTATGAACCGATCCTTATAAAATTTTACAAAGCGATTTAGGTTCCTATAAAATATGTTCATGTTGAATTAAATCGCTATAGATGCTTCTTTTGGACAGTTATGAGCGTTAAAGTAATTTTCTGAAGGGGACCTTATATGGGGGATAGGGTGAATTATGGACCGATCCTTATAAAATTTTACAATGGTATTAAGGTTCCTATAAAATATGTTCATGTCAAATTTCATCGCTATGGATGCTTCTTTAAGACTGTTATGAGCTTTAAAGTCATTTTCCGAAAGGGGATCTTATATGGGGGCTAGGGCCAATTATGGACCGATCTTCGTAAAATTTTACAAAGCTATTTAAGTTTCTATAAAATAGGTTTATGTCGATTTTCATCGCTTCTCTTAGACTGTTATGAGCGTTAAAGTCATTTTCTGAAGGGGATCTTATATGGGGGGTAGGGTCAATTATGGACCGATCCTTATAAAATTTTACAAAGGGATTTAGGTTTCCATAAAATGGGTTCATGTCGAATTTCATCGCTATAGGTGCTTCTTTTAGTCAGTTATGAGCGTTAAAGTCATTTTCTGAAGGGGACCTTATATGGGAGCTAGGCGAAATCGTGGACCGATATTGCCCATTTTCAATACCAAATGAACTGCATCAACTAAAAGTATCTGTGCAAAATTTCAGCTCTCTAGCTACTTCCGTTTGGACTCTATCGTGTTTTCAACAGACAGACAGACAGACAGACGGACGGACATGGCTAGATCGTCTTAGAATCTAATAAGGACCCAGAATATATATACTTTTATGGGTCTTAGACGAATATTTCAATGTGTTACAAACGGAATGACAAAAACAATATACCCCCCATCTTTTTTTGATGGTGGTTATAAAAAACACATCGTTTGCAACACTTCGAAATATTTGTCATAAACCTTCTACATCAAACCTTAAATATGCAAAATTTTCACACGATATTTATATTTGTATATTAATTATCACAATTTATTTAACAAATTAATAAAATAAATGTAATTAGTCACAATACTTGAATAAAACAAAAAAAAACTTAAATTACATTAACATTTAATCTAAAATTAATTCTTCTTTAATTTCTTATTATCCAATTTCGATTTCTTGCCACACACTAATCTCACCAAACACTTCAATAGCCATAGGACTATGACTAACACAAATAAAAGACCGCCATACAAAATCACTATAGCATCAATATTATGATATTGTATAAAATTCAAATCCAAACCGGCACAATGTAGATATTTGGCACCCTTATGTCTCGCCACATGCTCCACCCAATAGGTGGCCAAAGCTAAAGGTTTCATAGGTTGATCTCTATAACGCTTTGACATATTTCTTACCAATTTAGTATAGTTGGGATTACCCAACATAGTTTCCACTGCTTGTTGCAAAGCCGTTGCAGTTAAATTTTTATAATCCAACATAATACCATAACCATTAGCCACTGCCTTGGCCATGTTAAGAAATTGATCACCAAATATGGGTATGCCTATAAAGGGTTTACCATGGTATATACTCTCAGTGGTGCTCAGTAGACCACCATGTGTAATGAAAGCCTTGACATTATCATGAGCCAATATATCATCCTGGGGAAACCAATCACTAATGAAAACATTATCCGGTTTACCTTCTAGTTGAGAATCTTCAAATTTCCATAGCACTCGTTGTTTAAGAGATTTTAAAGCTTTCAGCAACTCCTGTCTTTTTTCAATAGGCAGATTTTTCGCCTTAATATTAGAACCCATAGAGAAATATATCACACCATGCTGTGACTCATTTATGAATTTCTCTATATCTTGCGGTAATGGGTTTCTGTTACGGTGAATATGCATTCCACCCACTTCCACCTGATTGGGTACATAGGGACGTGGAAAACTTAAAGAGACATGGGAATTTAGCAGCACCAAGGCAGCATTTTTTCGTACATCATACATGTTTCTTTCATTATCGGGGAAATATTTATTATAAATTTGCTCTTGTTTTGGCAAATAGTAGAGTTCCAAAAACAAACGTTCAAATGTGGAAAAGCCCAAATTTATGAGACGCTCTTTGAGTGACATATGATCGGTAAAGGGTAAAAATGCATTGGGCACATACGAGAGAGGTGAAGGGGATCCTACCTGTAAATGGACATTAGATATTAAGATAATAGTTTAATTAAAACAAATTAAATGATACTATAGACTAGACTATAGACTATAGACTAGACTATAGACTAGACTATAGACTAGACCTATAGACTAGACTATAGACTAGACTATAGACTAGACTACAGACTATACTATAGACTATAATATAGACTAGACTATATAGACTAGACTATAGACTAGACTATAGACTATAGACTAGACTAGACTACTATAACAGACTATAGACTAGACTATGACTAGACGATAGACTAGACTATAGACTGACTATAGACTAGACTATAGACTAGACTAATAGACTAGACTATAGACTAGACTATAGACTAGACTATAGCTAGACTATAGACTAGACTATAGACGAGACTAGAGACTAGACTATAGACTAGACTATAGACTAGACTAGTAGACTAGACTATAGACTAGACTAGAGACTAGACTAATAGACTAGACTATAGACTAGACTATAGACTAGACTATAGACTAGACTATAGCTAGACTATAGACTAGACTATAGACTAGACTATAGACTAGACTATAGACTAGACTATAGACTAGACTATAGACTAGACTACTAGACTAAGACTAGACTAATAGACTAGACTATAGACTAGACTATAACTAGACTATAGACTAGACTATAGACTAGACTATAGACTAGACCATAGATTAGACATAGACTAGACTATAGACTAGACTATAGACTAGACTATAGACTAGACTATAGACTAGACTATAGACTAGACTATAGACTAGACAAGAGACTAGATTATAGACCTAGATTATAGACTAGATTATAGACTAGACAAGAGACTAGACTATAGACTAGACTATAGACTAGCCTATAGACTAGCCTATAGACTAGACAATAGACTAGCCTATAGACTAGACAATAGACTATAGACTAGCCTATAGACTAGACAATAGACTAGACTATAGACTAGACTATAGACTAGACTAAAGACTAGACTAAAGACTAGACTATAGACTAGACTATAGACTAGACTATAGACTAGACTATAGACTAGACTATAGACTAAACTATAGACTATTCTATAGACTAGACTGTAGACTAGACTATAGACTAAACTATAGACTAAACTATAGACTAGACTATAGACTAGACTAGACTATAGACTAGACTAAACTAGACTAGACTATAGACTAGACTATAGACTAGACTATAGACTAGACTATAGACTAGACTATAGACTAGACTATAGACTAGACTATAGACTAGACTACTAGACTAGACTATAGACTAGACTATAGACTAGACTATAGACTAGACTATAGAAGACTATAGACTAGACTATAGAATAGACTATAGACTAGACTATAGACTAGACTATAGACTAGACTATAGACTAGACTATAGACTAGACTATAGACTAGACTATAGACTAGACTATAGACTAGACTATAGAATAGACTATAGACTAGACTATAGACTAGACTATAGACTAGACTATAGACTAGACTATAGACTAGACTATAGACTAGACTATAGACTAGACTATAGACTAGACTATAGACTAGACTATAGACTAGACTATAGACTAGACTATAGACTAGACTATAGACTAGACTATAGACTAGACTATAGACTAGACTATAGACTAGACTATAGACTAGACTATAGACTAGACTATAGACTAGACTATAGACTAGACTATAGACTAGACTATAGACGACTATAGACTAGACTATAGACTAGACTATAGACTAGACTATAGACTAGACTATAGACTAGACTATAGACTAGACTATAGACTAGACTATAGACTAGACTATAGACTAGACTATAGACTAGACTATAGACTAGACTATAGACTAGACTATAGACTAGACTATAGACTAGACTATAGACTAGACTATAGACTAGACTATAGACTAGACTATAGACTAGACTATAGACTAGACTATAGACTAGACTATAGACTAGACTATAGACTAGACTATAGACTAGACTATAGACTAGACTATAGACTAGACTATAGACTAGACTATAGACTAGACTATAGACTAACTATAGACTAAACTATAGACTAGACTATAGACTAGACTATAGACTAGACTATAGACTAGACTATAGACTAGACTATAGACTAGACTATAGACTAGACTATAGACTAGACTATAGACTAGACTATAGACTAGACTATAGACTAGACTGTAGACTAGACTATAGACTAGACTATAGACTAGACTATAGACTAGACTATAGACTAGACTATAGACTAGACTATAGATTAGACTATAGATTAGACTATAGACTAGACTATATTCTATATACTACAAAATCCATCATAACCGAGTGTAACACTCTTACTTGTTCAATATTTAATATAGAATTAATTGTACTCACCATATCTGTATTCCATGCAATGGCACCAAAAGTACCCAAACCTATCAAAGGCGCCTTAAAATGTTCACTTATACCATATAAAGCTTCCGCTAAAAATACTTCAGAAATGACAGCATCGAAAGTTTGATTGCTGGCCAGTAAAGCTTTAACACTCGGTTCATTGAGAACTGCCTCTGTCACTCTCAAGCCAATATTATGAAATGATACAATATTTTCCAACAAACTACGTTTCGTTGTTTCTAATAGTCCATCAGTTTCCTCTATAAAAAACAGGCAATTATGACAAATATTAATCAAGATTAATTTATTTAGATATAATTAAAAAAATAAAGACGCAGTCAAGCATGTAACAGCGTACATAGAACAAATCACATACTTTCCATTATTTTTAATACCGATGGCACCGGTACATCATAATAATTTTTCATAGGTTTTTTCAAAGGAAATGGACTTATTACTGTCACTTCATGACCCTTTTCCACTAGGCCACGCATTAGGGCAGAACCGACTATAAAATGGGATTTAGAACTAAAGTGCAACACACCCAAAAATTTATAGGCATCTAAATGATCGACACTGAGTAATGTTATTAAAAGGCCTAAAAATAGCCTGAAGTTTGTTTGTGCATTCCATAAACGCATGTTTGGTTTTTTTCTTATTTGTATTTAATTATTTGTTTTTTTTTTTATTTTTTATCCACCAGCTACAATTCACTCAATGTACTTTTTGCTAAGCGAATCTTTTAAATACTAAACTACCACACAATTTGTCTACTCATTTTTGTTAGTTGATAAACACAAATTGTTTGTTTATTTTATGAACGCGATCACCACTGTTAATAACATTTTAGCTTAACATTATCAGCTGTGTATTTTAGTGTATGTATGTGTATGAATACAAAAACAAGAAAAAATATTAACAAAAATTTCTTGTAGGTTTTGTTTAGTTACAAAATATACTGATCATGCTAATCAGTGTTGCCAACATTGGTCAAGCAAAACGCGCGCAAAAAAATTAAAAAGGGGTAAAAAAGCGTAATTTTCTAACTGAAAATGGGTAAAAAAGCACTAGCGTTTTTTAGTCAAATATTTTTTATTTTAATAAAAATTGCACATTATTTCGCTCATTTCCTACAAGACTCCAAAATTCGTTTTTTAGAACATTGACTACAAAACAAAACATGCGTCATACTAAAGTCTTTCATCTGTGTGAGTTAGATTTTTAGTAACGTAAGAACTAAAACTAATGTTTGACGAATATTAGATAAATAAGATGAGAAATTTTCAAATTCCTTAATTTGTTTAAAAGTTATTTTAAAAATAGTAAAATGTCATTAAACATTCAAACTGACAGGCACACTACCAACTGGCGAACCGATGTAACCACACCCAAATTGTAAAATTGTACAAAACTTATGAAATATATTTTTTTTGCAAAATCTATATATATATTATTTTTAAGTTTTTTGAGTTCTGGAAAAATTTTTAATTTCACTGATAGTGAATAACATAACTTATTTTAACGTATTTTGAATATTTTGTTTTTTGTTTTTGAAGAATATTTGCTTTTAAAACTTAACACAAATAAAAAAAACTTTAGAGCACCCGTGTAAAAAAATATAAAACAGTTTTTAAGAAAAATTTAGTCCTTAGTGTAAACTATTAAACTGATAGTATTCTAATAAACAACAAAAAGTGGTACAAATAGAAAGATCAAAGAATGATCCCTCAGTTTTCTTAACATTATAGAGAAAATGTTTAATATTAATTAAATAAATTACCTCCTGAAATTCACAATTATTTTGAAATATTTTAACAAGTAAGAGTGTTATATTCGGCTGTGCCGAATCTTATATACCCACCATCAAATCTTATGACGTAAAAGGAATGCTTCTCTGTAAACATCAGGGAGATAATGCTTAATTCAATTATGTACGTGATCTTCGAATTAACAAAATATTCATTTTTAAAAACAAAATATATATATATATATATATATATATATATATATATATATATATATATATATATCAGAGGTAGTGTCAATTATGAACTGTTTGTCGTAAAATTTGGTAGAAAGACTTCGTATAACACTTATTCGTTTCGAATTTCATTGCTGATCTCCAATTTTTAATTCAGACATAAGCGTAAAAGTTATTATCTAAAGGGGAACTTATATGGGGTTGGGACAATTATATATCGATACCCATAAAATTTTGTACATAGATTTTGTTGGTCAGTTATATCGTCATAAAATTCGGAATAAAGAATTATAATAAAAATCTTTTTATTGCGAGTACAACGATGAAGTAATCATGGAGGCTTTATATATTAGGGATAGGTTCAATTGTGTAAAAAAATTGTATAAAACTTATTTTTTGTCAATTTTCATCGCTGTACTCATATTTTTAAGGGGACCTTAATAAGGGGTAGGGTAGGTTACCGAAAAATCCGAATTAAATTCGGTAGGAAGATTACGTTTGTATAAAAGTTGTTTATTTCGAATTTCTCCGCTATACTCGTATTTTTAAGTCAGTAAAGAGCGTTAAAATCAATTTTTGAAGGTGACCATATGTGGGGGTAGGGTCAATTATGGACCGATTGCCGTAAAATTTGCTAGAGAGATTTTGGCTTATATAAAACATATTTATGTCGAATATTTTTAAGTCGGTAATGAGTATTAATGTCATTTGGTAGAGAAATTTTGATGCATATAAAAGTTACTTATGTTGAATTTCAACACTGCACTCATAGGGAGACCTTATTTGGGGGTAAGGTCAGTTATGGACCAATTCCCATAAAATTTGGTAGAGACATTTTGCCTTATATAAAACTTATTTATGCCGAATTTCATCGCTATACTCGTATTTTTAAGTCAGTAATGACCATTTAAATCATTTTCTGAAGGAGACCTTATATGGGGGGTAGGTTCAATTATAGACCTATTTCTATAAAATTTAGTAGAGATTTTGGCTTATATAAAACTTACTTATGTTGAATTTCATCGCTATACTCGTATGGGGGGTAGGGTCAATTTTGGACCGATTCCCATAAAATTTGGTACAGAGATTTTGACGCATATAAAACTTATTTATGCCAAATTTTATCGCTATACTCGTATGTTTAAAACAGTTGTGACTGTTAAAGCTGTTTTTCGGGGGGTCACTTGTATGGGGGATATGCGAAATTGCGGACCCATATTGCCCATTTGCCATACCAAACAAACCTTACCTATAAGAAATATTTGTGGAAAAATTTAACTCGCTTGCTCTTTCCGATCTAACCCTATCGTGCTTTCAACAGACAGACGGACGGACAGAAGAACAGACGGATGGACATGGTTAGATCGGCTTAGAATTTAATAAGGACCCAAAATATATATACTTTTGTGGGTCTACGACCAATATTTCGATGTGTTACAAACGGAGTGACAAAATCAATATAAAATATAAAAAGCACTAAATGCACTGTCATAAAATTAGAAAGCACCACTGTAGTGCCTTTTTGAAAAAAGGCACCATGAGCAAAATTTTCCGCGTTTGGCACACCAAAAGGCACCGCAAATAGTGCTAAAAGCACTAAGTTGGCAACACTGATGCTAATATATGGGAAAACCGGCTAATAGAGAGTCAGAGAGAGAGAGAGAGAAATAATTATTTATAACACTCATTGAGAGTACCAAAGAGATGGTTTACTCTTAGCAGAGAAAGATATTACTATGCATGTTTTGTTTTTATCAGATATGGAAAAAGTTTTAAATTAAAAATTGTACGTTTTAGTCATTTTTGAAGGGGACTTTGTATGTGAAGTAGGGTCAATTATTGACTGATCCTCATTATATTTTACAGAGTGATTTAGTTTCTATAAGACATATATATGTCTTATTTCGTTGCTATACTGGAATTTTGTAGCAAGTTATGAGGCTGAAAGTAATTTTCAGAGAGGGGCCTTATATGGAGAGTAGGATCTGTATAAAATTAAGCGCGGAGGTTTTAGATCCCATTAAACTTGTTAAGTAGTACACTGGCAAAAGAAGTTATGAGCGTTATAGTACTTTTCTGACGGGGACCTTATATGGGGGATGGAGTTAATTATGGACCGATCCTCATAAAGTTTGAAAAAGCTTTCCACCTATACTGGTTTTATACGAGTTTTGGACGTTAAAATCATTTTCTGATGGGATCTTTATATGGGGGGTAGGATCAATTATCGACCGATGCACACACAATTTGATTCCAACAAAACTTGTTTATATCGAATTTCATAGCTATACGTGTATATGTATATACCTTATATGGGGGCTAGGCGAAATCGTGTACCGATATTGCCCATTTTCAATACCAATCAAACTGCATCAACAGACAGACAGATAGATAGACAGAGAGCAGACAGAAAAACAGATAGACAGACAAACAGGCAGACAGACAGACAGACAGACATACAGACATACAGACAAACAGACAGACAGACAGACAAACAGACAAACAGACAAACAGACAAACATACAGACAGACATTCACACGAACGGAAATTTCAGCTCTCTCTATCTCACCCCGTTTGGACACTATCAAGTTTTCAACAGACATTGCACTTAGACTATAAATAAATAATTTTCTTTATTTATCTAAAATTTTTATTATAAACATTTAATTTCTTTTCTCTTAAATTACAGAAAATTTAACTTAACCTTTAACTTATATTTACTACAACTAAAAGTAATTTATCAAGCTAAATTAGTTTACTTTTATTTATAGGCAAATGATTGTGTCTAGTCTTTATTTATATTTAACTCTGAGTATTCCCACTAGATTAAAGTCAATTATTAACACCCCACCTTTATCTTCTAATATCTTTACATTTCTTATTTGCTAAATCACGTTTACTAATGTAAACAAATATGTATGAGCAACCTACAATAAGTATTGTTGACTTTGTATTTTTCTTTGTTAGTTCTAAAATATTTTCATTATCAATATGACAAGTTGTTCCTAAAACATGTTAATTAAATGATGCAAATCTTTTGAGATAAATTGTAGCCAAAGTTCCTTTAAGAATTTATAAGACCCCAATTTTTTTATTCGTATGAACTAATAACTACGTAGAAATGATTAAGTTTTTTTTTTTGTTTTATTAGCAAGTACTTGTAAGCAAATAAAAGTATTAGTTATATGACTTGCATTTCTAAGTATATTTAAACACTACCCTACATTATACTGATCGTTTTTTTTTTTCAAGTGTTTGAAAGGGACGAAAATATTGCTTCCACCGGCTTCAATAAATCATCAATTCCTATAAATCCATAATACATTTACACTACATTCTTTCATTATTTTAAAAATTCCATCAATATACTCGTAAACTCGTATCTATTAGTAACTGCTAACTACTACACTGTTTTAAAGGTTATGAAAAACTTTGCCCCCATAATTTTCTATTACTCACCTAAATTTAGATACTTTTTCTTATTTTTTTCTATTCCCTCCTTTTCAGAGAATTTTTCTTTGATGGTACTTTTCTGTTACCTTTATACTCATACATATGTCGCTTGCAGCACATTCATTACTTAATTTCACACTTCTTTAGCGTGGAAAAGTAGTCTGTCTAACTGACTACCTGGCTGCCTGACTGCGCGGTGAAATGTTTGCTTGTCTATTTATCTAGTTAGAGCAGAGGAGGCTTATTGCCTGATATAGTGGAATTTTCTAGCTACAAGTTTTTTCATATCTGTTTGAAATATGAGTTCTTTTTCTGTTTGGT